ACGCGAAGATAGTCAACATAGTGAAGAGATAGTACAAGAACACCCAAATGTGCAATAACTGTTAACAATCAGATCACAAAATGGTTTGAAGTCTGTGTAGGTGTCAGACAGGGATGCCTCATGTCCCCAGTGCTTTTTAACATATTCCTGGAATTCGTAATGGATGAGCTTAAGAGCCTGGATAAGACCTTCCAATTACATGATGAGCTTTCAATGGAGGAAAGATACGCAGATGATACTACACTTATTGCTGCAATCTTTGAGAAACTACAGTTGTCAACCCAGGAGCTAGAGTTTGCTTGCAAAAAATGGGGGCTGAAAGTTAACGCGGCTAAGTGCAAAGTCATTTCCCCTGAGTTAGACGAGGATGTAAGCATAGAGGGTTCCACGGTTGAAAAAGTTCAAGATTTTGTATTTTTAGGAAGTGTTATTCCTGGTACAACAAGCGATGTCAAGAGGCGAGTTGCCCTTGCTGCTTCTGCCTTTGGCAGACTCAGGAAAACAGTTTGGAACAGGTCTGATGTCAGTAGGCACCTCAAAATCCGTCTGTTACATGCCCTCATTTTCCCAATAGCAACTTATGCTTGTGAGACATGGACATTGAAAAAAAGTGATGAACAACTCCTATTGGCTTTTGAAATGAGATGCCTGCGGGCTATACTGAATGTCTCATGGAGAGACCACATCAGAAATGAGGAAATCCGAGCCATGCTGGGAATGGAAAATACCATAATTGACGACATTCGTAAAAGAAGGCTGAGGTGGTTTGGTCACGTTCAGAGGAGACCCCCAGACTCTCTGGTATATGGGGCCTACCATCAGGATTTCACAAACACCAGACCTAGAGGTAGACCCCCTAAAAGATGGCGGGACCAGATAGTACAGGACACGGGGTGGTCCCTCAAGTACGCTGAACGAAAGGCTAAGGACCGTGATGCCTGGCGGGAAGAAATGAAGAGGAGCAAGGGGCCAGTCCTGGCCTAAGCATTTAGGCAGGTAGGCAGGCATATGTACGATTTGGGGGTGTTTCTCGTGCAACGCATCACACCGCAGCAAAACGCAACGAAAGCGGAAGTAACTACGCCACCGCAGGGCAAACAAAGTCAAGGATCTGTGACCTTCTTAAGACTTCAAATTACTTACAAATATTGTGTAAAAAAGTCCAGCAGGGTTAACAATCTTTTCTTTCAATGATTTTCTACATGATTAGTGATTTTTGTAGAAACGTAATATATTGGTGATCCATATGAATAAAAAAATTAAAATGATATCTTAACTTGAATAGCAAAGTTCTTTGATCACAACCATTATTTTTTTTACGAGCTGACGTTTCGATGACCGTCTGTCATCTTCATCAGGGCAATTCTGACATGCTTACTGTGCACTGACGATAGATGTTACTTAATGCATATATTACACTGAAGGTGCTACATGCTTCACAGTTCACTATTACTTGGTTCACAGTGCAATCAAGCTAGTTTTTACTGTTAGCAATGCATTTATATTTGATGCTAACAATTACAACGTAGTGCAATTCTGACAGACGTTCATCGAAACGTCGGCTCGTAAAAAAATAATAAAAAAATAAATAATTGCGATCAAAGAACTTTGTTATTCATTCATTTACCAACCTGCAGCTGATGAAATTATCTAAGGATATTTTTACTTGTAACTCTCATAGTTGATGAACTGGAGAATGACGTTTTTCATTTCCACTGCCACTATTTTCGAATATCAGTTGAAGAAAATACTTGTTAAGGACAGTGTGTAATATGTATATCACAATGAGTTCGATAAACGATTCGCCATATGTAAGATAACATAATGGGAACGTGTAGTAGAGATATTACACACTTTAGCTAGCCAATCATAATAAGTCAACGGACACAAAGTAAAAGATAATAATTCATCAAAAATGTATCAATATTTTCTCATGTTTCTCTTTTTTTTCTCGGAGGATGCCAAGATAAAGCAAAGGTCTAAGGTCTTTTTAATCATGATATTTTATCATATCAAGGGAGCCTTAGCGGAGATAAAGAAATGGAAGAACGGTGACCCGAACGCGTTTGACTGGACGGATGCAGTAAAGTTTGTCTGTGAATTGGAGGGCACGAGGTATGGAAATACATGTATATAGCATGGTTTGTCGAGAAATGATTACATGGCTTTTACTTTCTATTATACATAGAAAGTTTGAAACCAGCTTTTCATTTTCGCTACAGTTCAATCATGACAAATGCAATTTAAAAATTTAGTATATAATTCTAATAGCCTGGTTACCAGACCTATTATAGCTCCCGAGTCCTTCGTGGAGAGGATGTAGAACACGGAGCTATAATAGGTTTGGTAACCAGGCTATAATTTTAAGACCACACTAATTTAATTTGCTGGTTCTCTAAATTGGCCTCTTAATTTTTTTTCTTATTTGCAAAACAAAACAAAAAAGATTCTGGTTCAGAATTAGCTAAATGCTCATATTTTGCCCCAAACAGTTTTTCCATCTAACAATGACGTGGTTTGATTAAAAGTTTAAATTTTTTTGTTCAAATATTAACCCAGCCTTTTGTGTTTAGTCCAAGGCTCTTATTGCCGAATGTTGCGACAATAGGTCGGCTAGACCTGTTTTACTTTTTTTGCCCTGTCACTTCATATTGCTTTCTGAAAATATCCGGGAAGCAACAAATTAAATTGGCGTGGCCTAATATTATATCTT